ATATTGTACAGTATATATACTTAAGGATTATATATATATACTTATATATATTATATACTGTATTATATATATACATAATATGTATCATATATATACATTATATATATTATATATATATGTTACATATATATACACATAATATATATAGTATAATATATAGTTCTTTATAATATTAATTACAAACAACAGCGGCAGCAACAACAGACAGAACCAGAAACCCGGTGAACCATTCTCTGAGCTGTCCCATGCCCTCCCTTCGGTGCAGTTACAGTCACAGCCAGCGGGGGCGCTGGTGCCTCTCGGTCGGGCAGGGTGGGTGCGGTGATTCCTCCCCTCCAGCAGGGGATGCTGTGGCGATGATTCCTCCCCGCTGGCAGGGGGCGCTGTGGCACGGGGGCGGTGATTTCTCCCCACCAGCAAGGGGCGCTGTGGAGCTGGGGAGATGATTCATTCCTCCCTGCCAGCAGGGGACGATGTGGTGCTGTGGTAATGATTCCTCCCCACTGGCAGGGAACGATGTGGCACAGAGGCCATGACTGATTCCTCCCCGCCGGCAGGGGGCGCTGTGGCCTGGGGGGCAGTGATTCCTCCCCGCCAGCAGAGGGTGCTGTGGCGCTGTGGTGGGGATTCCTCCCCATCAGCAGGGGCGCTGTGGCACTGGGGAGATGATTGATTCCTCCCCGCCGGCAGGGGGCGCTGTGGCACAGAGGCCATGATTGATTCCTCCCTGCTGGCAGGGGGCGCTGTGGCCCGGGGGACAGTGATTCTTCCCCGCCAGCAGGGGGCGGTGTGATGCAGGGGGCACTGTGATGCAGGGGGCACTGTGATGTAGGGGACAGTGATTCCTCCCCGCTAGCAGGGGGCACTGTGGTGCTGTGGTGGTGATTCCTCCCCACCAGCAGGGGGTGCTGTGGCACAGAGGCCATGATTGATTCCTCCCCGCCAGCAGAGGGCGCTGTGGTGCTGTGGTGGTGATTCCTCCCCGCCGGCAGGGGGTGGAATATATATATAGTATATCATGGCACAGAAGCCATGATTGATTCCTTTCCACCAGCAGGGGGTGCTGTGTCACAGAGGCCATGATTGATTCCTCCCCGCCGGCAGGGGGCGTTGAGGCGCAGGGGCAATGATTCCTCCCTGCCGGCAGGGGGCGCTGTGGCCCGGGGAGCAGTAATTCCTCCCCGCCAGCAGGGGGTGCTGTGATGCAGGGGGCACTGTGATGTAGGGGGCAGTGATTCCTCCCTGCTGGCAGATGACGCTGGGGGGATGATTCCTCCTTTCTGGCAGGGGGCGCTGTGGCACAGAGGCCATGATTGATTCCTCCCCGCCGGCAGTTGGCGCTGGGGAGATGATTCCTCCCCGCCGGCAGGGGGCGCTGTGGCACTGTGGCAGTGATTCCTCCCCACTGGCAGGGGGCGCTGTGGCGCTGTGGTGAGGATTCCTCGCTGCCGGCAGGGGGCACTGTGGCACAGAGGCCATGATTGATTCCTCCCTGCCAGCAGTTGGCGCTGGGGAGATGATTCCTCCCCGCCGGCAGGGGGCGCTGTGGCCCGGGAGGCAGTGATTCCTCCCCGCCGGCAGGGGGCGCTGTGTCACAGAGGGCAATGATTCCTCCTTACCGGCAGGGGGCGCTGTGGCTTGGGGCTCAGTCATTTCCCTCCCTCACACGGTGATGGCGGGCGGGCTGGATGGCACGACGGGCTGTCGTGGCAATCTCATATCAGCAGCCGGGGCCACAGGAGCTGGCTCACCCCGGGTAGATGGCAATAGGTGGCAGAAACACCTCATCTGGGATGGCTGGTCCCTGGGTCAGGCTGTGCAGAGGGGAGGGTGGCACCCCGATGGGGAGCAGGGTGTTCTCACGCTGGCTCTGGGCTCTCAAAACAGCAGAGAGGCAGAGAAATGAGCCYATAAGCCCAGTCACACTGCTGAAGGACAAAGAAATTAAAAGGAACAGGCCAAACTAATGTGCAGCAGTATTTCTGCTCAAGAGAGAGCTGCTGCYTGCCTAAGGGATTCCAGTGCCCCAGGGGAAAGGGAGGAGTTGCCTCTTGCTCCTGCCCCAGCTTTCCTAGGAAATCTTGGGCTGTGTTGCAATTATCATGGTATCTTCAGAGCCAGGGTTGGGGGGAGGTGACAGCGACCAACCCAGCCATGAAACGAAAGAAAAGGGGAAAAAGAAAAGGGATGGGGCAAAAAAAAACATCCCCAAGAGAAAACAGCTTTTAAATCCCTCTGGGGGTGGGGACTTCACTGGGCCAGGGCTGGACAACCCTCTGGGTGTAGGAATTTTGCCAACATCCAACCTGATCCTGTCCTTGCAGAACTTGAGGCTGTTTTGTTTTGTCCTGTCGCTTGTTCACGGGGAGCAGAGCCCAGCTTTCTCTGTCAGGGAATTATGGAGAGCAAAATGGTCCCTCTTGAGCCTCCTTTTCTCCAGGCTGAGCTGCTCCAGCTCTTTCCCCAGCCCCGTTCACTTCTCTGGATATGCTCCAAGTCCTTAATGTCTTTTGTTGGGACTCAAACTGACCATAAAATTGGAAGTGCCTGTGGCATCCTGTGGCTGCTACAGGCCAGGTGATGTGTTGGCAGCAAAACTTGAGGAGCTTGGTTCATAAAATGAGAGACCCAGGACTCCAAGGGTTTCCTAACAAGCCTGGAAGAAGGAATAAATTATGTTTTCTACATAAGAAAATCAGATGGTAACTTTTATGCTAAGTAGTTTTTAGATACTCTGCTGTATCGCAAAACCGAATTCTCCAAAAGATCACAATCCTGGCTGGAAAATTGTCGCTGTGCCTTGTGTAGGTCAGGGTAGGMTGTAATTCCAGCTGTTGTGATCTTCCTCCAGTTCAAGCGTCTGCAAGGCAAGCGGAATCGTGGGAGGGAAGAGATCAACTTTGTGGACATCAAAGGTGACGACCAACTGAGCGGGGCCCAGCAGTGGCTGACCAAATCCTTGACAGAGGAGAAGACCATGAAGTCTTTCAGCAAGGTGGGGTGGAGGGCAAAAACTGAGATTGGAGGCTCTGCTCAGTGCCCAAATCAGCCCCAGTGGAGCTGTGTTGGATGCTGGGCAGACACCAGGGAGGGGGACAAGGAGCTGGTAAATAATGACGTGAGAGACCAGCAGTGTTCCTCAGAACCCCAGTGTGGGTGGGGAGGGCCRGCCAGGAAATGCTTCAGCCAAAGCAATCTGTAATTTAATAGGGAACAAATGTCATTTGGGATGGCTGTGTGCAGGCTCTTGCCTTGGTTTGATGTCCAGAGAAGGGTCTCTCCAGGCTGAACACTTCACYTCTTTCTGCTTTCCAGAAAAAAGGAGATCAGCCCACGGGACAGCAAAGGAGAAAACACCAGATCACGTACTTGATCCATCAGGTGAGTGTYCTCTCCGTGGTGTGTGAGTTGATGCAGCAGATTTGATGTTTGGCAACACAAGGCTGGGGTGGTAGAGCTTCCAGTGGGGCCAGAGGTGGATCCTGGCCCTTGGGGATATCCCAGTCCCAAATTTTCAGCTTTGCTTTGCCCTCCCRCACATCCGAGGCTTTGGGATCCTGATCTGGATTCCACCCCAGGGCTCTGTTCCCTAYGAGAAGCTGCATTTCAGCATGAATGAAATGCCTGTGCATCCCAATTAATCCAGGCCTCTGTCAGGATGATTGTGCTAACTCCTGTGACGAGGTTTTTGGCTGAAGGGCTCCGTAATCCACGTGAGTGGAATGCTGCTGAGTCACTGAAACACGGAGGGTAACACAGATCCTCTCCATCTCTGCAGGCCAAGGAGAGGGAACTGGAACTGAAAAACACATGGTCTGAAAACAAGCTCAGCAGACGGCAGACTCAAGCCAAATACGGATTCTGACACATCTGTCCTGTTTTTTGGCTGGTGGCCCGGGTGACCTGCTGTGTCCGGTGTCTCCCGGCCTCCGGGAGATCAGCCAGGCCCCAGGACGGGGCTGCTCATGGGAGGAAGGACACTGCACTCCCTGGCCTGGCAGGAAGAAGGGTCATTGCAAGCTGGGCCTGAAATTCYACCTGTAATCCTTCCCCTCTTTCCTTGTAAACAATAACGAGGAAGGTTCTGATCAGCCAAGGACAGTCCTGAGGCACTGCAGGGAACGTGCCGGGTGTGAGGTTCAAGCTCCTGTCCAAAGGAACAGGGGCTGTTCCTTCCTCCACCAGACCCTTCAGCAGAGGCTCAATAAACTCCCAGTTCCCACTTTGCTCCTCTCTTGGACTGGCTGTGCATTGAGAGTGTCATTTTYCTTTCTAAAAGACGGTGAGTTCCCRAGAGCAAGCCTGGCTTTGGAATTTTTTATTTTGTCCTTACCTTTTAAGATGTCCTCATGGCTGCTTCCTTGTGTCTGGGCCGCTCCAGCTCTCCTCTCATGACGATGGTTTTGATATCCTGGTTTTTAAGTTGCTGTTTTTGTTCTGGACTCCACGGGCAGAGCCACGCTGAGGAGACACCCCTGTGCCAGGGGAAGTGCCACACGTGGAGGGGAGGTTCTCCTGCCTGGCCCACTCAGGGCTTTGGGATACCCTTTTGGGACACCCTGAGCCATGTGTGCATGTATATTGTCCTTCCTTCTCCCCCTCTTTCCTCTTCCTGTGACCCAAAGTCTCCAGTCCTGCCCCAGGCTGTTCCCAGACTCATCAAACTTCAGTGTCCCACGTGTGGCTGGCTGGGAGTGAGCTCAGCATTTTTCTCTGGGCACAGAAGAGAGCTGCCAACTGTACTTTTTTTGTTTTTCCAGCTTGTTTGTATCAGTTCTGTTTCAATGAAGTGTTGACTTTACCCTCCTGGCTGGGAAGAGGAGACTGTCCAGCCCCAACTTGTTCAAATTAAACTTTTTTTTTTTTATTTAAGGAATCCAGTCAAGGTGATATTACTGCAAATCCTGTGCAGCTCTGCTGGCCCAATCCATGGATCCAAATCTCCGTGGCATCACTTTGTTGTTCACCAAAGCATGTGATGCTGAAGGGAGCAGAGAGCTGGTCTGGTTATTTAACTYACATTCCCACCACTCTGGGTTTTATTTGTTGTAACCACAGCTCACATGGCCAATATTTTTTTATTTGGGTAAAAAAAACTCACAAGAGGTGGTTTTTCTGCCGTGTTACCTCTTAAAAACAAGCAAACCCCCATGACTGAAGTCTTTTCGTAGAACATTTTAAACTAATCTCATTTTTAGTTTAGTTCCCTGGATGTTTAGTAYTTTGCAGAGCCCGTTTTGAGTATTTGAATGATCAGAATAAAGTTACTGTTGAGTAATTTATTCATATCTTGTATGTACAGTGAAATCCTCTCCGAAGAGGTTTGATAAAGGAATAAACTTTTAAATGAAGCCACCCAGCCCCGTTTCCATCACAAGGGGCTGGGATTTTTCTCCAGGTACCCTCTTGGCTTGGGGATTTTGTGGTGTGGAGCACAGCCTTTGTGGGGGTTGGAACTCCTGGGTTCCCCTTTCCATTTCCTGTTGTGGTAAMAGCTCAGGTTTAGCACCAAGGGGGAGTTCCAAGCGCTTGTGCTCCACTTTCAGCTGTCTTAAGAGCAAGAAAATTCAAGTTTGTGAAAATTCAAAGTGATTTATCCCATGGATAAAACAGCTACACTGCTTTTCACTCTGAGCCAGGGTTTTGGCCATCATGGCTCCCTGCTCCTGTTGAGCTGGRAGCACCATGGCACTGCTGTGTTATTCCAGCAGGGTTTGTGCCCCACAGGGCAGCCCTGGGGCAGTGGTGTCATCCCAAATTTTGTGGCTGAGGAAGCAGGCAGGGCTTGGAGTGTAGACTCCAGGCTGGGWAAGTTCTGCGTGGCCCTGGCTGTGGCATCTCTCCACCTTCTGGCCAATTTAATRTCCAACTGGATGCACCAACTGTGCTGAATGCATCCCTGTTTTTCCTGTAATGGCCTTTTCCACCCTCATTTTATTAAGAGAAGTCTCTTGGAGAATGTTCATGGGTATGGTAATCTTGTTCCCAACTGTGCTGTCCCAGAGGATTGTGAAGCAGGAGGAGCAGGGGCTCTCCATGGAGCAAACCGACCTCGCTGGGGCCAACAGCAGCCTCAGATCTCTCCYCCCAGGACCAAGGGCTTCATTCCTTCAGGGAAATGGAGGCTGAGGTTCCTGCTGCCTGGAGCCAGGTCTTGTCCTTGGCCCATCTGGCTCAGGAGCAGTCCCCAGGCAGCTGCTCGTACACATTCTCAGCCATGGCTGTGCTTTGCTGCTCCCCACGTGTGCTCCGGCTGTACACGGGGTCATCCAACTGCAGGGCAGGGTTCGGCACCACCTGGGGAATCCTCAGGGACAGGGTGGATTTGAGAGCCAGGAAATAGCACAAAGTTGGGCTTTCACCCTCCCAGCCCTTGGCTTTGCTCAAGCTGGGTTTTTGCAAGGGCTTGGAGAGACAGTCCAAAGGGGAATGGGTTCCCACTGCCAGGGTTAGAGGGGATATTGGGAAGGAATTCTTCTCTGTGAGGGTGGTGAGACCCTGGCACAGAGAATCTGTGGCTGTTCCACCCCTGGAAGTGTCCAAGGCCAGGTTGGACAGGATTTGGAGTAATGTGGGATAGGGGAAGATGTCCCTGCCATGACGGGATGGGACTGGGTGGGCTTCTTTCCAACCTGAACTCTTGCAGGTTTCTGTGCTTCTCCCTCTGCTCCTGGTGCGGAGCAAACCCTGATCCCCCAGACCCCGAGAGCCTTCACTCGTGCTGGGACCAAGGTCTAGAGCAATGATCTGCAAGGACCTGTGGTACTGACCTGTGTGCCCGTGCTGGAGGCTCCTCTGTCCTTCCTGTCCACGCTGGGAGCTGCCGACAGCTGCCTCCTCTTGCAGTCCTGGCTGGAGACGCTGCGGAAAAGCCGGCGGTGGGGCCGGGGTTTGGGGGACAGCGTGGAGAAGGCATTTTGGGGAGCCATGGGGAGCCGAGCGGGCGGATCCTGCCTGGTGGGGAGATCCTGCCTGGTGGGGAGATCCTGGCGGGCCACGGCCACCTCGGAGTAGATGTTCTCCTCGGGCTGGGCGCGGGGGCTCCATCCCCGGGCCATGGCGTAGAAAGGGATGGGCTCCTCAGGGCTGAGTTTCCCCGGCTCGCAGCGGTTTGGRGCGATGTCCTCTTGGGGCTCGGCGTAGATGTGGAAACGCATGAGCTGCTGGTACTTGGCCTCGGGCGGCGCGGGGGGATCGGGGCGGGCGCCTCCTTTGCGCACCCGGGCGTAGGGAGCGTCGGGCGTTGCTGAGCTGCCGGCGGGGCTGTGCGGCCCCTGAGGAGCGCCCCGGGAGCTGGMCTTGGCAGGGAGTGACGGGGGGACGCTGGGAGCCTGGGGGACAGAGGGGACAGGTCRGAGGTGAGGGGAGAAATGAGTCCGCAGTGGCTGCGGCTGCATCTCCCCGCCTCGTGGGAGCTGTGGCTCCTGTCCCCTCCATCCCCTGTTACCTCCCTGGAGGAGCCACCCTCGGCTCTGGGGGACTCCAGGGACACAGAGCTGTACTCCAGGAGCTCTGCTGGGGAACGTGAAGCATCGCTGCCGGCTGCGGGCTGTGTCCGTCCTCGGGGCTGCTCTTTCTGCAGGGAGAGCACAGAGATGTCGGGATGGATGCGTGGCCACGGKCTGGCTCCTTGCTCCTGCTAGCCAGGGTGGCTGCGGTTCCAACCCCGACTTTGGTGATGCTTGGACTTCTTTTGGCTTTAAATCGCCCTGTCCGTGCCGCCGGAATGCCCCCGGGGCTGCCGGGGCTCTCGGTGGTGCTCACCCTTGCGCACGGCAGGGGCACGGTGAGAAACTCGTGGTACGGTGTGACGGGAGCCMTGGCGTGGTGCTGCAGCAGCTCGGCCAGCTCGGCGTGGGCTCTGCGCTCCCCCAGGATCACGTAGCGCCCGTCCGGCAGCTGGTCCAGGACAAAGTGGCGGCAGCGATCCGTGCCCCTGGCGGGAGAGGGGAGGGGATGGGCACAGGGGGAGGGAGGGAGGGAGGGCACCGAGCTCGTCGGTCCCTCCCTCGGGCGGGGGTGGGTCCTTTACCTGTAGGAGAGCACGAAGCCGACGGTGCTCTCGCTGAAGCGGACCAGGAAACAGCCCAGGGGTTGATCCTGCAGCAGCTCCTCTGCCTCCCTGKGGGAAGGAGCCACTCAGCCTCATCCCTTTCATGGATCCGGGGGTCCTTTTCCCTTTTTAGGAGCTCAGGGGTGGAGACACTGACTCTGTTCCCCACCTTGACCTCCACCCCTCCGTTTAGGAGCTCGGGGATGGAGACACTGACTCTGTTCCCCACCTTGACCTCCACACCCCCTTTAGGAGCTCAGGGGTGGAGACACTGACTCTGTTCCCCGCCTTGACCTCCACATCCCCGTTTAGGAGCTCAGGGGTGGGGGCACTGACTCTGTTCCCCACCTTGGCCTGCCCCCCGCTCACCTCCGGCTGATGAAGCCGTGGAACCACGCTGGGAGCTCCCCCTTGGGCCCCAACCTCTGGGCTTGTGTCTGCTGGAACCACAGGCTCGTCTGGGCACGCAGGGCCACCARTTCGGGCCGCGGGTCTGCCTCAGGCTGGGACTGGGCTGGTGGAGGTGACCTGGAGCCYGGAGGGACCTGGAGGGAGGGGACAGCACCGGGGGGTCAGGTGAGGATGTGCCCCAAGGATGTTCTGCTCCCTGCACGAAGCTCCCGGTGCAGCCTTTCCCCCCAGAATTTGGGGGAAAAAAGTGGCCCTACAAGTCCTGAATCTGAAACTCAGCCAATTACCGTGTATGACTGAGTCCTAGGAAAAGAAAGGGAGTGTTAACAGCCTGCGTGGAAGAAGAATACTACATCCTTAGCTACTTTTGAGAAAAGGAGATTAGAATGTAGAATTGATAATGCAGGTGGCTGGCAATTATAAACGTTACTAATACTGTAGCTTTTGCAAACTAACCAATCATATACTGATTATTAATTAAACAGCTGTCTCTTAACCAATGTATGTTTAACACAAATGTATACACTAGTTGCTAAAGTAGATAAAAGAGGCTTGTCCCACAATAAAGTACTCTCTCTCTCTTTTTCTTTTCCTTTTCCTTTTTTCTATGTGTCTTTGTATCTATTATTTTGTGTCGCTGTTTGGCCAACAGCCACACCAGAGCGTGTGAGCMCTGGGATGATGAGCTGTCCCCTCTCACGTCCCCATGTCCTACCCTGCCATGTCTGTCGTGGTGTCCTGGGGACTGCTCTGTCCCCTGGGGCTGGCTGGGCGCTGTGCTGGCTGCTGGCTTGGCTCTGGCCGTGCTGTCCTCACCCATGGGTTTGAAGGTGATGAAGAGGGGGTGGTCGTCATCCATGGGGTCCCCTGTGCCAGGGAATGGGGAGAAAAAGGCTCAGGGTGGGGAGGATTCCCTTGGGACCCCTCACTGCCTGAGGGGTCTGGGAGCTCCAAGATATCCCAAAAACCTGGGTAAGCATCACCTTTGCCTTGTGCTCCCCAAGACGGGCTCATCACCCTGATCCTGCCCAGCGAGACCACCCTGGGAAGGGCTGGTGACCTTGGTACCCCAGAGAGAGAAAATCCCTGGGCATGGTGATGTGGGTGGGGAGGAGCTGAGGGGAAAGAGTGACAATTCTCCAGCCCCTCTGAAGTCTCCGGGGTGTCAGGTCAGCCCTGGGAAGGGGAGGGAGAGGCTGAGCAGCTCCCAAGGGACCTTGAGCTCGACCCCGAGCTGCCAACGCCCAGCAAAACAATGTTAATCCCCAGCAGATGCTTGAGGGGGTGGAAGATGCTGGAGCTGGTTGGRTCTGGGAGGCAAAACTGAGTCAGAGGAGTCAGTCAAGTCTTGTCTGAGAGCAAGGGGATCCAGCCACCAGAAAAGGCACCACCTTTAACTCACAGCAGTGCCCAGCCTGGTCCTGTGCCCCAGCAGGAGAAGGTGAGGAAGATGTTGACAAAAAGAAGCAAAACACCCCAGACTGGAGTTACCCAGCTCAGGGAGTTCTGGGGAACACAATTTGGGTCAGGTCCTGGCCGGGCAGCACTGCTGTCCCTGGTTTTGTGTCCTCCAGCTGGGTGAGGGTCCTGGGCAGGGGTGGGGGGCTCATTCCTGCTCCCCCATCCCTGCACCTTGGCCTCGGTGGGGCACCTCAGGGGGATTTGTTCCCTGGGGCAGGGTGTGCCTCTGGAAACCTGCACTTCTGACATGGGAACGAGTCAAATCAAACCTAAAATGGGCTGAAGGCTTTGCTCTGTGAGACATTTCCGGGCAGGACTTCCCTCTTTGGAGGGAATAAGATCTGTCTGGAAGGGCTGGTGTGGGTGGGGGACCCCATTCCCACCCTCTTCACCCCATTATTGTGCCCATCCTTTGCGATGCCTTTGGGCAGGGGGAGCATCCTAACCCTAACCTTAACCAAACCCACACAAAGAAAAACGGTGCTGCCCCATCCCAAGGCCCCACTCAGGGCTCAGTCCTCGCTGCAAATCCAAGCCCAGCCCCAAACCCCAGCTCCCAGCCCACGCTCGTACCTCTGCCCGGCCACGGGGGCGTCTGTGTGGCCGGAGGCGATGGGGTGGGCAGGGGGACGGACAGGGTGACGRACAGGATGCGACCCTGCCTGCGCTGGCGCCTCTGCTGCCTGCAGAAATGGCAGGAAGTGGCAACCGAAACTTCATGTGATGGGGAAACGTCACAGCAAAGCGAAAGGGTGGCCCTGAGGTGACATCCAGGTGACACCGGCAGCCTTTGGACAGGCTGGGCTGTGGCGAGGAAGAGACTCTGGCCACCTGCCCACCAGCACATCTGAGCCTGCAAAGGTGGCTTTGTCCCTCCCGTCCACATTCTGGGACCTGGCACTGCTGGGCACGGGGACAGCAGAGCTCGG